TATTATAAATACTTGCACTGTAAAAATGATAAACAAAAGAAATAGTATTTTTCAATTCACTTCATTCAAATACTGTAGTGCAATCTCTTTATCATGAAAGTGCAGCTTACAAATGGAGATTTTTTTTGTTACAAAACTCTACTCAAAAACAAAACAATGTAAAACTTTGGAACCTGCAAGTCCACTCAGTCCTACTTTTTGTTCAGCTAATCACTAGGATAAGCTTTTGTAGTAGGCATTGCAAGATATTTGTTTGCCAGATATGCTAAACACTGGTATGCCCCTTCATGCTTCAGCCACCATTCCAGGTGATACGCTTCCATGCTGATGACACTAGTTTAAAAAAATGCATTAATTAAATTTGTGACTGAACTCCTTGGGGGAGAATTGTATGTCTCCTGCTCTGTTTGACCTGCATTCTGCCATATATTTCATATTATAACAGTCTCAGATGATGATCTAGCAGATGTTGTTTGTTTTAAGAACACTTTCACAGCAGATTTGACAAAACACAAAGAAGGTACCAATGTGAGATTTCTAAAGATAACTACAGCACTTGACCGAAAGTTTAAGAATCTGAAATGCCTTCCAAAATCTGAGAGGGATGAGGTGTGGAGCATGTTCTCAGAAATCTTAAAAGAGCAACACTCCAATGCGGAAACTACAGACCCTGAACCACCATTCCAGACCACATGAATCCATGCTGATTCCCTATTTGGAATGGTGGTTGAAGCATGAAGGGACATATGAATCTTTAGTGCATCTAGTAAAAACCTTGCAAAAATGTCTAAAACAGTGCCACGAGAACGCCTGTTCTCACTTTCTGGTGACATTGTAAACAAGAAGTCAGCAACATTATCTCCCGCAAATGTAAACAAGTTTGTTTGTCTGAGCGATTGGCTGAAGTAAGACTGAGCGGACTTGTAGGCGCTAAAGTTTTACATTGTTTTGTTTTTGAATGCAGGTTTTTTGGTACATAATTCTACATTTGTAAGTTCAACTTTCATGATAAAGAGATTGCACTACAGTACTTGTAATGAAGGAATTGAAAAATACCATTTATTTTGGTTTTTACAGTGAAAATATTTGTAACCAAAAATAATTATAAAATGAGCACTGTACACTTTTTGTTTTGTGTTGTAATTGAAATCAATATATTTGAAAATGTAGAAAATATCCAAATATATTTAAATACATGGTGTTCTATTATTAACAGTGTGATTAATGACAATTTTTTTAATAGCTTGACAGCCCTATTAAAAATGCTTTTGTTCATGCAATGTGAGGGTCATCACATCAGTGCAGAAGCCCAAAGAGAATAAAGCCATTCCAGTGAGAACCGTTACAATATGTTTTCAGCAGATACTTTATAATAACTTATCTATTCTCTACCAAGACTGTCAATACATTAATGCTCTGTTTAGGCAGCTCTCTTAACCTAGGGATCTGAAATAACTTACAAACAATTTACAACTGAACCAATCTATACCCAAATCTGAGGTGAATACATCAGCTACTAATTAATGGGACCTGAATTTTGTTGTTGCTTTTCTTCTAGTCATTCCACATGGGTTTCTACATCAGGATATCTGCTGTGCCCTAGTAGTGTAAGGTGGGGAATTTAACTAGTTCATTACCACTTCCTCTTCTTTTTTTTCTACCCAACTCTTTGGGCATGAATTTTTCCAAAGCTCCTGAGTGACATAGGCACACACATCTCAGTGGAAGTCAATAGGATTCATGCTCTGAAGTCCCTAGCTCTTTCAAGGCAAAAAAAAAAAAAAAAAAAAAAAAAAAAAAAGAAACCAACCCAAAAAAAAAAAAAAAATTTAGTGGAACCCACCACCCCCCTCCACAAATGTTCACATGATGAAGAGAGGTGTAGCACACCAAAAAACTCACCACAAAAAAATAATGAAGTCCTAAGGGGCCCAAAATACCCCTTTTCTTTAGGCTCTTTTGAAAATCACATTCTGTTTCTATAAGGTTTCAGTAAAAACATTTTCCTGGGCCTTATATTCAACCCAAAGTCAGCATTACCAAACAGATACCTAGTATTGCCTATACACTTAGTTGACAGAATGATCTAGGGGCTGCACTTCATTAAGATATAATACTTAGATAACATGCCAGTGGGTATAAGGAAGGCACTTTGGAAAAGCCTTAGCTAGCTAGCAGTAGTAAATTAATCTGCTGCCATTTTGATCTTTGAACTCCCTTGTAGCACCATCTTCCCTGGAAGATCTCCTTTTTTCCTTTTCTTCCCATTCTTCTTGGCACTTGTGAGACCTCAGCTGGAGTACTGTGTCCAAGTCTGGTGCCACAATTCAGAAACAGAGTAACCCAAAGGGGAGCAACAAAAAATGATAACCTTTCCCCCGGGTCAGATTTTAAAAAACTTGGCATGTTTAGTCTTGAGAAAAGAAGATGGGTGGTAACAGTTTTCAAATATGTTTAAGGCTGTAATAAAGAGGATGGTGTTCTCCATGTCCACTGAAGGTAGGACAAGAAGTTATGGGCTTAAAGAAAATTTAGGTTAGTTAAACTTTCTACCTATTAGAGTACTTAAACTCTGGAATAGGCTTCCAAAGGAAGTTGTCTAATTCCCATCAATGGTTTTTAAGAGCAGGTTGGACAAACACCTGTCAGGGATGGTCTAGGACAGGAGTGGGCAAACTTTTTGGCCTGAGGGCCACATCTGGGTATGGAAATTGTATGAGGAGTTCACTGTGCAGGAAGGGGCTCTGGGCTGGGGCACAGGGTTGGGGTGCAGTGGGGGGGTGAGGGCTTTGGCCGGGGGCATGGGCTGTGGGGATGAGGGTTTGGGGTGCAGGAGAGTGTTCCGGGCTGGGACCAAGGGGTTCGGAGGGCAGGAGGGGGATCAGGGCTGGGGCAGGGGGTTGGGGTGTGTGAGGGAGTCAGGGGTGCAGACTCCAGGCAGTGCTTACCTCAAGCAGCATCCGGAAGCAGCAGCATGTCCCACCTCCAGCTCCTACGTGGAGGTATGGCCAGGCAGCTCTGCATGCTGCCCAGTCCGCAGGTGCTGCCCCTGCAGCTCCAATTGGCCATGGTTCCCGGCCAATGGGTGCTGTGGGGGTGGCACTTGGGTTGGGGGCAGCATGTGGAGCCCCTTGGCTGCCCCTACATATAGGAGCTGGAGGGGGGACATGCTGCTGCTTCCAGGAGCTGCACGGAGCCACAGTATGCATGGAGCGGGGCAAGCCCCCGACCCCGCTCCTCGACTGGAGTGCTGGAGCAGGGCAAGCCCTGGACCCTGCTCCCTGGCCGGTGCTTGAGGGACAGATTAAAATGTCTGAAGGGCCCGATGCAGCTCCCGGGCCATAGTTTGCCCACCTCTGATCTAGGATAACTTGGTCCTATCTCAGCATAGGGGCTGGACTTGATGACCTCTTGAGGTCCCTTTCTGTTCTACTTTTTGATGATTCTGTGAGTCCCCAAAATATGCAGCTTCTTGTCCTGATCATTATTTACAACTGAAGCTGTTTCATTACACATGGCTGAAAACTCTTATTTGTTTCAGTGATTGTCATATTCTTATTTTAATATTCAGTACTGTATAAATCTTGCTCTTGACAGAGTTATATGAGAGCAGTGAGCTGCAAAAGGACACCAGTCAGAGAGAGATATTGCGGACCTCACTTTGCTATTCTCCTAAGTGGCATAAAACAGGATTTAGATATTTATTTGTTCTAGGCATAGAAGGATGTACTTTGTTTGACCATTTGTGTACAGATTAACTAACCTGTCAGGACAGGGCTAAATAAGAAGGCTTCTGACTGATTGTTTGGCCTTTATCAAGTATTAATTTTGAGGACTCCCTTTCATATGCATAAAACCTGGAATTTCCTTGTCTAACCAATGTCTTTCATTAAACCACAAAGTATATTTTTATGACAGTTGCTACTGACCCATGTAACTGGTAACAGACACATTTTGATACACAGGACCTTGGGGTGCTATTCTGTAGGAATGTGCAATGAAAGATGTTTCTGCACCTAGCCACATTTTCAGCGGGAAATGTTGTTCTGCATGTAGAACTCCTGTTAGCTGACTTTCACATATGTGATTTCTGGAAGGTCAAAAACTGGTTTCAGACCTGTTCTTAAAGCTAATCCTGATAAAAGGTGTACCTAGTTGTAAAAAATACCCTTCACAATGCTCTATACATGTCTGTTTACTGTTTCAGGATGTTTCCTGATTGATGTAGCAAACTTCTGATCAGTCAACCCCTGAACCCCACACCTGCCCTGGAGTGGATGAATGAAGTCCATTCGTCATTGTCAAGAGTGACCAGCATCCACATCTGGAGTCAGCTGCTGTTCTCGTTTACACCAGTGTAGTCCTATTGAAGTCAATGGGAGAGCACCCGTGTACTTGAGAGCAGCATTTGGCCATTGCCTTGAAAAAGGAGCGATGAGGGTTGTGTGGGATTTGGAAGGGATTCTCCCTCCTGCTGGGGTCTCTTTAGGAGGAACAACCCAAAATCTTACCCTTTAAGACAGAAGTCCCTGGCACGTGTCAGCTGTGGTTTAAGTAGAAGGGGTACTCATCCATGATGATGGTTCCTAGGGGCCATGGTAATGTATGTAATAAATAATAATCATTGAAATAGGAGGATATGTTTTCATTGCAACAACTGAGGAGGAAGAAGAACTACTCCCGCCAAGCTGGGAGAGGTGAGAAAGCTCTCCCTCAGGGTTGGGGAATGCTGTGTTCCACCTGTTTCCTCTTCCCTTATCTCCTGGGTGTCGGGCTCCATACTTTTCAGTCATGATTGGGCATTAATGGTGTGAGGTGAAGACACTTACGGAGCTGCTGTGGCTATGACTTTGGGAATAGAGACCTTGGAAGCCTACTGCAGTTGTCTCAAATGCTATCTATTTCTTGATACCTTTAGAATTTAATATAATCAACAAAATGTATCTAACCTAATCATTCTTTGATCTTATCTGTTTAATATACCAGAAGGAAAAACATTGCAGAGGGAAAAATTGTTTCAAACTTCTCATTCTATAGACAGTATATTGGTAAACTGGCTATATCCTCATTACCCTTAGAGGAATTTAGTAATTGCTATAGATAAATACAGTTATACATTTCCCAGTGTTTCTCATACTTTATACTTTATTTCTCATACATTAGTAGTGTTCACTAAAATGTTTTTGATGACAGATAATTAGACCTGTTATAACAACAGCTGATGATGCTTCTTGCGGGGGCTCACCTCTGCCAAAACAAAACAAAAACCCTTCACAGCGAATCCCAACCATATCACGCAAGCCTGCAGGCATGGAACACTCAGGACTTGCAGTGTCAGAAGCAGAACAGAATTCTGTTTGAATTGGATGTTTTTTAAAAAGTAATGACAGTTTCTGCATGCAACATCTCATCAACTGAAGACAGCACTTGTCTATATACTTGGAACTTATTTATCAGTTTTGAATAGTGACCAGAACCTGGTTCTGCTGTGCAGCAGAACATGTGATCACCTAGAGCAGCAATGCATTAAGAACAACAAAATGTTTAGTTCAGAGCATGCGTGACTGCACCTAGGAGGGTGGACATTTCTCAGAATTTGACTACAACCTCAGAAACCTTAGACCTCTGAGACCACTAGTGATGTGTTGTTAGTCATCCTGACACTTGTCTATGTTTCTTCTTGGCATGAGAAACATCTCCAAAAAGGGCTGTCGTTCATTTGGGTGCATGGATAAGTCATTGCTTTTCTGGATGTTGTTAAGGCCTCTTCCTTTCGGGGTCTGTACTCTGTACCGTCTCAGAAGAGTCACCAGGATCGCCTTCATCATTACCATGGCAATAAACTTTCCTACACAGCCACGAGGGCCAAATCCAAATGGCTGAAAGTAGCGAGAAGGAACCTGTGTGAAACAATCAGAAAGGTGCATTGAAAGCACATAGAACAATTTCCAGAACTGAATTATTAAGAATATCATTGAAATCTCTAAGCATTTTATGGGGAAATCTTTAGACAGATTCTTTTTGGTTTAAGTATTTTTTTACATGTAGACTTCCTGGCCTTAATATCATTTTGTTTGTTTTTATCCTTTTTTTTTTTTTTTAAAAAGATCAAATAAAAAAACTTGTGGAAATAACATTTAAAATTGCAATCTCATTCTATGACCTCAAGAACTGCAAAAGTGAGGCAGCCAAATTCTGCCCATAAATGATGGCCAGTAGATCCCACTGACTACAGTGGTCTTGCACAGGGTGTGAATGAGGGCAGGAACTGGTCTCGGAAGCTGGAAATATGTGTCTGGATTCCAATGATATCATAATCTCATCAGTTAACTTATTGATTGGTGTGGGTTGCTGTTCATTTAGAATAATGTGTGTTATGTGGCAAACAGAATGAACCAAGTCAGATTGTATTGCTCACATTACATTAGTTATGAATCCCAAGAAAATGTCTGCTTTAAATACTTGCTCAAAGGGGAATATTTTTAGCAGCAAAATGAGTTTAGAAAGCAATCAAGAAATCCACTGAGAGAAATGGTTAGAATGGAAATAATGGATAAGATTGATGAAATAATCTAGAGTGAATAATTAACTTGATAAATTTAGCCACTTTTTCTCTTTGTGAATTTTCCACAATGATGAATTCTTGGGCTGAAGATTGTGTGCAAAGTTCATTGTTGGTAGTTAACTATCAGCATGAAAATATTCGCCTTGTTGGTTAGTTTTGATTGGTTGGACAGAGTACATGATACTATTTATTCTCTGACTGGATGAATGTAAATCCTAGGATCTCATTTCTAGTTTGAATCTTCACATTCGAGAGTTCAACTTTAATTTATGGTAAATATCCCCTCATATTTTCTTAATTGTTTCTGCAAAGATCCCCACCAGTAAACATGTTTCCTAAAACATTCACTAAAAATTAGCACAAAATGGGTGTCAAAATGGATTCTTCTATTCACTTTTTTATTTGAATATTATGTGTGGATGTTTTTGGAGGTATTTTCCAAGAGCTAATAAAAGGTTTGAATAGGTAACAAAACAGTACCCACACACTGAGTATACAACAGGTGCTACTAAACCTCTGGGAAACATTAATACTAATGTTACCCTCAAACCCTTAGGATTTGGCAGGTTACTAGAGCATGGGGGAGGGAGTTTGCATAGTGGGAAAACCCACAAAACCAGCATAAGGAGGTTTGCCTTATACAATCAAGATGGGGATGTACCTGTTCTAGGAGAAGATCGTGTCAAGCCCTTCAAGTTTGCATGGCTTTTTGGCCTGCTACCTCTTGAAGTTAAGGAACTCAATACTTGCTTCAAACCATTAAAGCCTGATAATCCTAAGTGCCTCTTGAGAAGTGCTAAATTGATCTTAAAATTTCATAATCCATGTCCTTTACCACTGAATGCATTGTAGTATCTTCCGCTTACTTCCAGTTAATTTGATCAAAAGCCGAGGAACCAAATAATTTGTGTTATAAGTAATACACCCCCCGACCTCTATTTTGATACATTTTTACCACTTGAAACAGCTCTTAGTGGATAATCTAATTTCTAGCTATGGAAAGCAGCCATTTAATTAATGACAAGCCAAAATTCTGAATAGGAGAAGAAGAAAAGCCCAAGGAAGACCCCTTAATAGTAAAAGGTGATTGCAAATAAGTTTTGCTGTTCATACATTGCTGTTGACATTGGGCCCAATCCTACAAGGTGCTGAGGAGGCTATCCCCGATGGTACTACTTGTGTGCTTACACTTAAACCTTTCCTGAGGCGCTTGCTGGAGTGGTGCCATTTTGCTCAGCATCATGCATGATTGAGCCCACCATAATCATTATAATGTGCTATGAAAACTGATGTGCATCCAGGTGCTTACATGGATAACGAGAAACTGACTTGTGGAAAGGACTTAATCCAATTAAAAGGAAGACCCATTTTGCATTTTAATTAGAAATAATACTCTATCCCCTAGCAGAAAGAAGACAGGAAACTTACGTTCTTCTCAAAATTTTTGAGAGAAAACTCATTAGGCTTTGGGAAGAATTCAAGCTTATGCATACGTCCAATGTTCAGAATGATGTTTGTCCCCCTTTTCACAGGATAGCCATCAATTACATCATCTTGTAAAGCCTTGCGCATGACCAAATCCACAACTGGCTGGTATCTCATACTCTCATTAATAAAATTCTCCACAACCTTTAAGTTTGACATGTCATTGCTCTGTACGTCTCTGTCACCTTGAGGAATAAAGCAGACAAAAGAAGTTGATTTTGCTATTCTCATTTTACCTGATTGATGTTTGAAATGTTGCAGTTGATGCCAGAATGGTTTTGGAAATCTCTCCATTCAGTAAAAATGCTGTCTCCTTTCATGATACATGGTGACAAGGAGCCTATGGGTTCTTGTGGCTTTGTGTTGCCTCACATACTACAGAAGCCAGCCATACTGTTTACCAACATGGACACTATGTGACTAATAAAATGATCTGCCCCAAAGCCAAATCTCCTCTCTCCCACACAGTCTGGCTCTAATCCTGCTGCCATTGAAGACCATGGAAAAACTGCTTCAGTTCAGTGGAGCAGGAGCAGGGCCTTGTATGAAACTGATTTAACATGCTATAGATTCTTAAGCTGAAGGGCCAGATTCACTGACATGTGGCACAGGCTGTGCGTGTAAATTACACCTCCAGTGCACCAGTAAGGCCCTGTGCTGAAAGATGGGGATACATACAGAAGGAAGGCAATTAGCATTTCCACTGCGTTTCTCTCTTAGGGGTCGCACTAGTGGGGGAAGGCAGGAAAACAGGGCTGAGACCTGAAGGTTTCTCTACACAATATGACAATGAGCACTACGGAGGTGTGATTTTGAAAGCATACTAACATGTTGAGCATTAATTGGTCCGTGTAGACCCTGCTAGGTCATTCTAGAAGTTTCCTAGTGGATTTTAATGGAGTACTATTTCAGAGTTTTCAAATTATGAAACGTTGCTGCATCATGTAGATGAGCTCTGGTTCAACTCCTGTTGGAGTCAATGGAAAGACATTCATTCATTTAAATAGAAATTGGATCAGGACTTTAATTCCTGCCAGGAACCAGGAGTGATATAGGAGATACAATACCCACTTCTCGGCCATCCACTCTTAGATTGGTCTACTGATCTCTCTATCTACCTTACAATGATGAGGACCATGTAAGTGTAGTGTATGAGATCTTTTCAGACATCTGCAGGAGCCCTACTATGGCTGGTCAGAATAAAATTCCCCAAACATTCATGAATTGGCAAACTGTGATTAAAACAAAATTGAAACCTTTCATGGTGATGGGTGGATTAAAATAAAACTCCACTGAAAACCAGGCAGGATTCTGATGGAAGCCTACATGCCAGGGGTTTCAAAACATGCCTGCCAGGCAGGTTTCCATCTGAAACCTTCCTGGTTTTCTGACAGCTCACCTGTCTGGCTTCTTGGGAATCTGGGCTTATAGGCTTCCAGCTCCTTGATGGGGAGCTGAGAGCCCAGAATCCTTGGTTCCCAGTATTTCAACTCCTTAACAGCCCAAATTCCCAGGGTGCTCTGCACCGGAGCAGGCCACCTGGAAGGCTGTTTCAGAGTGGGAGCTCCCTGTACAGATGAGGAGAAAATGTTTAATAGAAATTTTTGAAATGTTTGGGTTTCATTCTGAACTGTAATAAAACCAGACTTGGAAATCTCTCAACCTCCACAAAATGGAAGTACCCTTCTCTGCCCAGCTCTACTTGTACTCCCTCAGGGCAGGGGACAGTGAATCTCACCCAAATTTTACAACTATCCTATACTAAAATATTTATTTTTTAAAAAGTTAGCTAACTGTTGAACCTATTTGCTGTCTTCGCGCTGTTCCAGTACAGTTCTGTATCCTCTTCAGTGAACTTTAATGGAATGGTGCAGGGGACAGTCATGGAATTTTTTGAAATCCTGGCAATTACTGGAACTGTTTGAAAGCTAAACATTGGGAGAAGTAAACTTTCGGTCAGTTGTTCAAAGGAAACAAATATTTCTGAAAGCTTCCCTGCTGTATTAACTCTATTTTCTGCTCTCCCAAATGAGTCTGCCTTCAAAATTACAGGTCTTTCTGAAAAACTGGAGCCTAAGGCAGCAGGGGTTAGATCTTAATATGGGCGGAAAACTCTGTATTAGTAAAAGAAGAATAATTAATTAAACTTACTATCTCGCCAAGGTACACAACACTGACTGGGGAAATCACTGATGTGTACGAGATTATAGGAGACAATTTACTTTAGAAAACTCAGCAGTCTGATACATTGTGGCACATGTAGGTTTTGCTGAGGCATTTTGTAGTTGATAGATATGAGGCTGCCTTTTGGCATTAAATTATAGCTGACTGCTTCTAGGAAGCCAAGTATAGTTGTGAAAGAGGCCTTTCAGCTACATATTAATGAGAACTGTTGTTACTCGTGTATGGCCCATGGGACTCAACACTTAGATATCAATGTGCTGACTTAACATACAAGTCCAGAGTTTGCTGGATTCACTTGGGTTACAAGGCTCCTGGCCAGCTAGAAAGACAGACACATCCACATGAAAGAAAGATAGAAAGAGAAGAGAGATGCAGCTTGCTAGCTGGAGGGAAGAAAGGTGACAGGTGCCGTTTAGCTAAAGCTCTGGGACAACATTGAAAATATTCTCAAAATAGTTTTGCACAAATGTTACTTATTTCAGATATGCAACTTGGTTTATAAGCAACATAATGAACCAAAATAAAGGAGCAGAGTGCCTGGAGATAATGGTGGATGAGAGTGAATGCAGTGAATATTTACATTGTTTTTTAGGCTGGGAAGAGAAATTAAAGAAAGGGAAGACTAAAAGTTTAAGATAATTTGTGGGTCTGCTGTTCATTAGCATCCCTCAGAGAAGACCAGAAAATGGACCAGAGTTTTAAAAATCCTCAAGTCATTCTCTTCAGCCATTTAACCATTTTTGTTGCTTTTGTTTCAACTTACTCCAGTTGATCTACAACTTTCTACTAATGAGGTGCTCAAATTCAGGGAAGCAATTAAGCACATGTTTAAATCCATACGTATTCAGGAAGTATTTAGGGACATGCCTAAATCCTATTAACTTCTTTGGGATTTAAGTATAGGCCTGAAGCTAAGCACTTGCTAAAGTGGACTCTGAAGAGGGATGCTTCCCAGAACGGGGGCCTCATTTCAGTATTAGAAATGTGGCTTCACCAGTATCTTAGCGAGGGACTTTCACGATGCAGGTGATTCATCCTTTGGTGTGTCCATATAATATATCTTAATGAGATTGCATATTCAAAATAAAATAAAAGATTAAGTTTATCGCTAATAGATCAACTTGCAAATTCTGACTTTCTCTTTTTTCCATATGCTTTTTTGATTGCTTGAATGGTTTGACTATTATGCAGAAAATATTCACATGATAGATTTCTTAATTTAAAATTTTCCAGAGAGAATGTAGTATTTTTAAACAGCTTTTTACCTGTGCATACTATGTTTATAGGGATAATATGATGTGAATAGTTGTTAGCTCAGCTAAGCTGGAGAGATCATACCTAATTTCACAGTTCAATACCAGTGGTTAAAAAGCACCATGAATCAGTTTCTGCTCTCAGTTACACCAGTGTAAATCCAGAATAATTCCACTGAGGTTGGTGAAGTGACTACAGGTTTATACTGGTGTAACTGAGGGCTGAATTTGGTCCCATCATTCTAGCCGATTGCCTCTGATCCTAATTTATTATTTCCTTACTAGTTGTTTATCTTTTATCATTTTTTTCCACTCAGTTTTGAAAGATCTTTCTTTTTACAATATTATGCAGCAAGATAATTATTGCACCTACTTCACAATAAATAAACTTTAGATTTTTCTTCCTGAAAATGATTAGATCACTGCTCAAGCATAATTATTTTCCAACATCATTGTCTTTATAGACAGCCTTTACCTATAATAGCTTGGATTTCCTTCATCATATCCTCTTCCACTTTAGGGTGCTCTGCAATCAGTACTAGCATGAAGAAGAGAGTCACAGACAGTGTGTCAGGTGCAGCTATCATCATCTCCAGCACACACTGGTTCACATTCTCACCAGTCAGATCTCCACGACTCTACAAAATTCAAGGGGGCAAATGTTGAATGCTGGACTTGAGCTCCAGCAAAGGTTCTTAGGTCAACAGGAAAGGGAGAATGTAGAATATGTAGACTCACTTGAAACAACTGGTTCAAGCCCTATCAGACTTTACTCAGTCCTTTATACTACTGGGAGAGAGAAGTAATAACCACTTCATGTGTCTCTCAGATGAAGCACTGAAAACCAATGTCTTGCCTGGCATATATGATCCTATAACTCTTTTAAGAAAAGTAAGGGTTTGTGCTTAACCCAAATTCCTCCTCCACTCACTGTGCTGCAGCATACTGTGCACCATTCACTTGCTATACTCCATCACAGAGTGTACTTGATTGCCAGACATTCTGCATGGTTATGATTTCTGAAGCACTTGGGGATCCTTTGGAGTAAAAGGTGTTTATATAAATGGAAAATATATGGGCCAAGGAGAGGGTGGAGGGGATATGGGCATGAGCTTGAGCGCCTTGGGCACGTGGATATAACCTGAAAAGGTTCAGACAAGCAACCAAACATTTGGATGCAATTATTCAAAGCCTGGAACTTTGTTGCAATGCTCCAAACACTAATTAATTTGTATTAGTTTTAAATGACATTACTTTCTGCTATATAGGTTAAGTCAAACTCTGTTTACAAATCCCATTTTGTTCTCGGTGACAGGAGCATTTTGGACAAATTCATATTTTGTTCATATTCTCAGTACCTGTGCAAAAATCAGTTGTGATGCAAAGTCCATGTGGTCTTCCAGTTTTTCAACAGTGGAAAGTCTCTGTCGTTTCTGTTCTATTAAGATTTCAATTGCTTCTTTCAAATCCTTGCTGAAAACAGATAGAACCCAGTATATCTATAAACATCTGTGATATTTTAGTGCTTAGTAATGCAGGATGGGAAATGTAACAATAAAACAAACAAAAACATTCTTTGGATAATTCTGTAGTGAAGCAGTAAAATAAGGCAGATTGCCTCTAGAGAAGTGAAAAGTGACGCTGTTCTTATAGTGAACCTATAAGAGCATAGATTTGCCCTGCCAGACCAGATTGGTCCATCAACTAAGGTAATATGTCTCTAGCAGTGTCCAATACAGGTGGATCCAGAGGAAGGTGGGCAAACCCACAGAAAACAGGTAGCCTACTGTAAAATGCTGTACATGAGAGAGGAAAAAATTCATGACCATTATTAGACTTGATGAAAATGTGGCAAGGAATTTCACAACTTGACTGTATACTGAATGAAGTCCTTTTTTGCACAAAACCATGGGAGCGTCTACACTTGCCAATGACATTTTGCGGTGAAACTCAGATATGCCCAGTAAAAATAATGTGTGTTTTACTGGCACTATATTTGATGTTTTCCAGTGAGAGATTTGACTGCCCTCTTCGTGACCAGGGGAATCCCCAAAAAGGCACACTTATTTTATGTATAGTGATAGAGCCATTTTAATAACAACTGTAGAGGGATTAAAATGTCTGTAGTTGATACAATTTGTGTGGAAATACTGAATGCAGGAAGTCCTGATTAATGCATGGTCCTCCCTTCCAGTTGAATCAGAAACCTATGGGAAACCCTGGTATGCTACAGTTCTCTAATTCAGTTCACTTTAGGTTCAGGAGTCTGTCACATTCACAGTAAGAAGTAGTAGCCACTAAAAATTCAACATTTGCCTGTAGTTGTCATCTAGCAGTAACTGAGCACCACGGTTATCTCCTTAAGACATACTGAGTAAAGCTCTAGTATCATACATACCATTGTGTAGTGACTAATGTTGGCATTTTAGAGATTGACTGGAGGCAGGATTTCACCTTCTATGTGAATTTTGCCATTGACTTCCCTGGGGACAGGATTTCCACCATGGTAGATAGCCTTCCTTCCTTAAAATCCCATGAGTTCTTGTGACACAATAGTATGAAAAGTACTTAATACACACACTTTTATAGTGAATATTTTATCAGACTAGTCAAGGACATCTGTCCAAGTAAGGACAAAGTGACTGCCCGTTTGTTTTATAACCAGTCATTTTTTGGTAGAGGAAAACAAAGGAGACCCTGAAAACTCAGTAGAAAAGGTTTTGGTTGTTTTTTGTGCTTGTCGTCTTTAAACAGAAAGACGGCAAAACTAATGTGTTCCTATTTGGGGGAAAAGAGATGACAACCAGCATGATAAATGCTAAGTTTAAATCTGAAATGAAGAATTTTGGCAAAGATATAAGCACCAACAAGCAGGATTATACTGATTGCCTGATTTAACATTCACTATATTGCCCTGACTATAAAAAGGACTTGCTGTCTCAAGGAATTGCCAGCCTTCTAGGTTACTACTGGAGCCCTGGTTGGTTAGGTAGTAAGTGAAAGTGGATACCATAAGATGGCATTTCACTGCCTGTGTGAAGTGAACTGGTGATTTTCAGTTTTATACCTGAATTAGCACTAATGTGTGTCTCGGCAGAGAAACCAAGACTAAATTGAATTAAACTGAATGGTCCCTCTCATTCACTTTTAAAACAGAGAGAGAAAACTGACAAGCAAGAGTGACTCTAGGAAGGAGGGATTTATGTTACTCAGGTGATCTGTAAATCCGTTGATACTTACGCTGACTTTTCATATTTCTTGTACAGCCAAGAAATCTTAAAGAAGATGTCAGGTTTCAGCAAAAGTGTTTGCCAAGCATCGAAGTAGTTCTGAATTTTAAGCACAATGGCATTTTCTGAAAATTAAAAATAAACAAACAGCAATGTAAAATGTAAACTTCAATAGCTAGTTCACACAAATGTCACCCTAAACTGCACAATAAAGGCCTGCTCCTGCTGAAGTCAATGGGAGCCTGATCAGGCCTTAAAAGTAGGGTTTCAATATTATCATATTTCTCTTTTACTGCCATGGCATTGCCATTACTGACATTCAAATATTTTGTTTTAATGTGATAAATAGCAGCGTGAAATATTTTTAGACTCCTGTGCAGATTGTGCAGTTTGTAAAAACCAAGGCACTTCAGCTGAAAGGAGGCTGCAATGTGATAACCAATGCCAAGCCACCTCCCACACAAGTGGAGTGATGGTGGGTGGGGGATTACAAATGAGTGGAAAACTTTAAAAGCACATAATCGTGGGATAGGTGCCTGCAGGTACGTGGAAATCTTGTTTTGCAGATTTCACAAACTTTTGTCTGCCAACAAACATTCTGCAGCTGGCAATTTGGTACTTTATGTTTGCAGCATGCCCACAATGGAGGAAGTGTGGATTACTTTGTGAGCTGTAGCTCACGAAAGCTCATGCTCAAATAAATTGGTTAGTCTCTAAGGTGCCGTAAGTACTCCTTTTCTTTTTGCGAATACAGACGAACACGGCTGTTACTCTGAAACCTGCCATTTGTTGACTATATCGTGATTGTTAGGAATATTGGAAAACTAGCCTAACTGTCAAGATGCAGATGCTACTTCTCGATACTTGGGTCTTGTCAGGCTTAAAAACTGAATACAGGTTTTTAAAGACCTTTTTAAGCTCTTGCTCATGATTAGAATTAATTGCAATCAAATCTGACAGTGTTATTAAAAACTGAGCATTAGAGCCAGACCATGATGTACTTACTCAGGCAAAACTCCCCATTCATGGCAATGGGAAATTTTGTGTGAATATGCACCTTAAAAGTGGATCCATTATGAGATATAAGAATGTTATCTGTACCATCCAAAGGGATCCCTAGAAAGAGTGTGTTAGAAGCGTCCAGTGTGATCTGTCTCATAAAATTCAGCACATTGATGTTTCCCGGTCCAGCAGTCACATCCTCCAATCTGTCCAGATGGTCTTTCGTTGATTCAACACAAATTGCTATCATGCGCACGAGACCTGGACCAGACAAAGCTGAAATGTACATATAAAATAGTCAGATTGTTCAACTTTCATGTTATCTGTATTATCCACCCAGTGGCAATAAAGTTGTAACAGATGATGATGTAACCAACGTAATTGGAATACAATATTTTTACAGTTTTTAGCTTTTTAACCTATCCTCTGATTTAAACAAAAAGCCCTCTTTGGACATATTGATTAAAATAGCAAAATGTTAAATCAAAGCAAATATACGCTCCCATTCCCCAGCCATTACTATTATAATACTTAACACAGTGTGAGGCTTAATTAATCTGGAATTTTCAATTCTCGGTGCCTTTGTTAGGTACCTGGATCCATATTTATGCACCTAAGTAAATGGCCAGATTTAGAAAGGAGCTGGGCAACAACTTACATTGACTTCAGTAGCTGTGGTGGTCAGCACCTGTCATGATTTAGTAAAACAACTTGAAATATCCTGAGCATGAAAGATGCTACATAAACCAAATTCTATTTAATTCTTCTCCATTTTCTAATTTTAACAAAGCTCTAGTAATAACATATACCTCATCATCTGCCCAATTTCTATAAAATTCCAGTAGACTCCAGTAGACTTTCCGTCTAGTCTATATTGGTTTCTAATGGTATCTTCTGATTTTTGCCAGGGTGGTTGTTCTCACATGGACTATAGGTTGTCTACAGAGCACTTGCTGGTGGTCTGTAGAGAACTAGCCAGCCACATGGTGGCTTGTCTATCTTACTACCAGATTGCATTAAAAGAATATAAGAATGGCCATTCTGGCTCACACCAATGGTCCATCTAGCCCAGTACCCTGTCTTCTGACAGTGGCAAGTACCAGATGCTTCAGAGGGAATGAACAGAACATGGCAATTATTGAGTGATCCATCTAGTTGCAGTTTCTGGCAGCCAGAGGTTAGGGACACCCAGAGTGTGGGGTTGCATCCCTGACCTATCCTCCATGAACTTAGCTAATTCTCCTTTGACCTCAGTTATACTTTTGGCCTTCACAACATCCACTGCCAGTGAGTTCCACAGGTTGACTCTGTTATGTGAAGTACTTTCTTATGATTGTTTTAAACCTGCTGCCTATTAATTTCATTGGGTGACCCCTGGCTCCTGTGTTGTGTGAAGCGGTAGATAACACTCTTTCTCCACACCATTCATGATTTTATAGACCTCTATCATATCCCCCCTTAGTTGTCTCTTTTTTTTCTAAGCTGAACAGACTGTCTTTTCAATCTCTCCTCATCTGGAAGTTGTTCCATTCCCCTAATAATTTTTGTTGCAATCCTCTGTGCTTTTTCCAGTTCTAATATATCTTTGATTCAGGGTGACCAGAACTGCATTCAGTATTCTAGGTATGAGTGTACCATGGATTTATATAGTAGCATTCTGATATTTTCTGTCTTATCTATCCTTTTCCTAATGGTTCCTAACATTTTGACTGCCACTGCCTCTTGAGCAAATGTTTTCAGAGAACTATCTATACTAGCTCCAAGATCTTTTTATTGAGTGGTAACAGCTAATTTAGACCCCATCACTTTGTATGTTTAGTTGGAATTATGTTTTCCAATATGCATTACTTTACACTTATCAACATTGAATTTCATGTGCCATTTTGTTGCCCAGTCACCAGATTTTGTGAGATCCCTTTGTAACTCCTCACTGCCAGCTTTAGTCTTGACTATCTTGAGTAATTTTGTATCGGCTGCAAACTTTGCCACCTCACTTTTTACTTCCTTTTCTAGATCATTAATAGGGCCCTACCAAATTCACGGCCACGAAAAACGTGGCACGGACCATGAAATCTGGTCTTCTGCTGTGAAATCTGGTCTTTTGTGCTTTTACCCTATACTATACAGATTTCATGGGGGAGACCAGTTTTATCAAATTAGGGGTCTTGACCCAAAAAGGGAATTGTAGGGAGGTTATTTTAGGGGGGGTCACGGTATTGCCACCCTTACTTCTGCGTTGCTGCCTTCAGACCTGGGTGGCCGGAGAGTGGTGGCTGCAGACTGAGGGCCCAGCTCTGCAGGCAGCAGCGCAGAAGTAAGGGTGGCAATACCATACCAAGGCATCCTTACTTCTGCGCTGCTGCTGGCAGGGGCTCTGCCTTCAGAGCTGGGCGCCTGGCTAGCCGCCACCGCTCTCCAGCTGCTCAGCTCTGAAGGCAGCACTCCAGCCAGCAGCAGCGCAGAAGCATTGGGCAGCAGGACCACAACCCTCCCTACACTAACTTACGGAACCCCCCCCCCCACCCCAACTCCTTTGTGGATCAGGACCTCTACGGTTACAACACTGTGAAATTTCAGATTTAAATAGCTGAAATCATGACATTTACGATTTTTAAAATCCTGTGACCATGAAATTGACCAAACTGGATTGTGAATTTGGCAGGGCCCTAATTATTAATGAATATGTTGAAAAGCAGTGGTCCCAGTACAGATCCTTGGGGGAACCCCGCTATTTATCTCTCTCCATTGTGAAAAATGACCATTTATTCCAACCTAAAAATGTTATGGGAGGGATTTTTAAAAGCATTAGTCAACTCTGCTCCCAAGAAGTCAATGAGAATTTTAAAGTTCATTTAATGGGAGTAGACTTAGGCCAATTTTGAGTGTGTTTGAAAATCATGCACTCAATGCTTACTCTACTCTTCAATGTAAGAAATTTCTGTAGTTGCCTCAAGGATGTTAAGCTATCATATATGGGGACAGGTGATCGAAACAGTGGTGAGTGGGAGGGGAGGAGGTCAACACTGTAACTGAGTTGGTGAACATTTGTGTAATTAGAAGTATACCTCCCCAGGACTGAGTAGACCAATCGAACCAAAATCTAGATGCCAATTGGAACCAGCTGATATTTTTCAGCAACAATGTCCGGTAGGGTGAAGATGTGGGACAAAACCCCAAAATAGGGGGTGGCAGAAGAATAATAGCATAGAAAACTTAGAATGATGGCAAATTAATACTTTTCTAATATTTCATGTCTTTTCAGCTTCTTAATTCAGGCCCCAAAATCACCACAGGGAGCTGTTGCAGTGAGCCCACAGCCTTTCTTGAATTATGGGGGGTTGCAGAAGGACAAAGTAATAAGGGAACTATTGAAACTCCGTGGGTTTGTTAAGAAACCTGCAAGTTTTGTTGGAATCATTAAAGTTGTTAGGTTCAAATGATCCCCAAATGTTATAAAAAGTCTACAATTGAAATTTGACAGTTTAGGTTTGTTGACACCATATGAGCCCAAAATTACAAACGTTGTGCAGCCCTAAAATAAAGTTTCAGGCTCAGATTCTCAAAGGAATTTAGGCACTTAACTCCCATTAAAAGTAATGGATGTTAATGGATCTAAATACTGCTGCAGATCTGGGACCCATTGTTTAGTATTGTCATAACACCTCACATTTCCTTTTTGAGTCTGGGCCTTGTTACATAGCAGCTAAGTTGATATTCTCAGCTGACCCTGTTACTTCCCTGATTTTCAATGTTCTAAAACAATTAATGATTCCTGCTGCACAGAGCTCTTAAGTTCATTCTGAAATGATAAACACATTTTAAATTAGGGTAGGAGTGAAGTTTCTTTGAAATCAGTTGAAGTTGGGATACAGAACCTTCTAGTTAAATAAATATTCTTACAAAATTGCCATTGAATTAAGATGAACACTGGGCCACAAATGTAAAAATATTCAAATCTGTGGCTTGTGGGACATAATTAGGATTTGCTTAGAGGAAATTAGGAATTTGCAAAGTTATTGAAAGTCCTTCTCTAGTGTCATGAGAATCAGGATGAGTGAGGAAAGAAGACTGAAATATTTTGAGGGGCTGGTCAGAGAAGGAAAAATGGCTCCTTATAGTTACTTACACAAAATGCCAATCCCAGCATTTCAGAAGCACAAAATATATGGTACAGTAGATATGTGGTAAATATAGAAATACATAATAATTTACCTTTGGTGAAAAAAGGTCGAATTTCTTTCCAGAGTGCTGGGTTATTATTAAATATAATACCATTTTCATGCATGCCAATGCACTGTAACCCAAGCTTGCTTCCAAATCTAGAGATATATTGGCCATGTTTCATTACATGGAAGATACTGGAGGATCTGGGAAAGGAAAAAAAGATCCTTTTGTAAATATATACCTTTAATTTGACTCATTCTACTTCAGGCCCAATTGTCTGAGGTGTTGATCACTTGTGAGACACAAAGCACTTTCAACTCAAACATACTATGCATGCAACATTGAGAATGCATCTGATGAAGTGAGCTGTAGCTCATGAAAGCTTATGCTCAGATTAATTTGTTAGTCTCTAAGGTGCCACAATTCCTCCTTTTCTTTTTGCGAATACAGACTAACACGGCTGCTACTCTGAAACATTTCTTATACATACGATTCTTTAAAAGCCATGAATTGATTGACAGTATGATGCATGGCATTATTTTTATAAGTACAGTTTTTTTATACTTGGGCCTAGGCATGCACTGTTTTCTCAGTAAAATGGCAATTGACTGCTACGGAAATTCAACCAGAGTAAAGAGTGGAGATGCATAGAAATCTATCGGAACATAGACTTTGCCATACTGTCTCTGACAATGGCCAGTATCAGCTGCTTCAAAAGCAGATGTAAAACATTTGATGGCAGTTATGCAATAACATGTCTATAATGGAAATTGCTTCTTCACCCTCAACAGTTTTCGGTTGCATTTCATTTTGAATCATGAGGATTGATAACCTTTGTACATTTTTAATTTTGTTACATAATTCTAATGTAATAGAGAATGATGTTCTTATTATTCCTGTGTCTCATCCTTTAGTGATTTCTGTTAAGATTTGTTCCTCAATAATCTCTTATGGCAGGGAGTTCCACAAGGGATTGCATGGGAGTACAGACTTGGAAACCTTATATATACTCATTACCCTTGGAATGTGGTGGTGTGTTTTATTCGTGGAGAGTATTGTGTTTAGGAAGGTTGAGTCTGGTACTGAAAATACAACCCCCTACATCTGTTCACTAGCCCCAGACACATTAACAGAGTGAGATTTTCTAGGTTACCAGTTGAAGTCCAGTCCAAATAACTGGAAATTGTTATAATCTAACAGCTTCTCAGTGACCTAAATGAAATGAGTTGGTGTTCCCGAGTGCACAGGCTTTCACATCTTAAAAACTACCAGCACCATTAGCACTAATTGGCAATAGGAAAAATTAAATACAAACAAAACAAACATACCCAAAAGTTTTGGAAGGGCTATAAATTCTCATGCTTCAGAGCATAAGCCAATCTCCATTAATGTGGGTTAGGAGCAAACCAAAGTAGTGAGTATTGCTAAGGAAACTCTCTGGTCACTTAAATCACATGATATTTATCTGTTTTCTAAGTAGATGATCCAGTCTTTATAAACTGCTGTTGCTTCCATCCAAAATGAATGTACCTGTTCTCTTGTGAAAAAACAAATGTTGTGCTGAATGTAAAGATTTTGAACTATTGACCCCATTGGAGCTACTGACTTGCCACAGAAAATTGTCCAAACTGAAGTTTCCTTTTATGCAGGATATGAATGTGGCCATATTTTAATCTGATTTGGAATTCAGCATAATGGTTCTGAATTTTCTCTCTACTTTTCACTCAGCTCTCCTTAGGACCACAGTCATATTCTGATCATTTTGACAGGCTCAATTTATAAACTATGGGACTGCAAAACTGCATAGCCTGTCTTTGAGGGATTGAAATGTTCAGATGTTAGATCCCATGAGTCATAGCAGGCATATACTGCCACCTACGCATTTTATAGCTATTTGATCATTGGCAAACCGATGATGAAACCACAAATATACATGTGTAATAAAATTCTGCTACCTGAACATAAACACTACCCATTGGAGAATAAGGGAAGTCTCTCACAAGGATGCTCCTTAGAGACGAATAAATGTGACCTCAGTCTTCCAGTTTCATAGGGCTCAATCCTGCAAGGTTCTGAGTCCTGTGGACCATTAGCTGCTTTGCTGGGTCAGAGCCAGAGTGCTCATTGCTTTGCAAGATCCAGCCCATAGTGCGCAACATGCATCACACGATTCAGTGCCTGGTCTAACTATGTACCCACGGTGAATGCACAATATAACAAGGACCTTGCTTTACCAGTATATGGTAGTTAGTTACATTACAATTCTTTGCTTTCATATGTTTAATATAAAATTACTAATTAATTAGCAGAGATTAGAATTACTCATATATATAAAACCAAAGAAGAAATATTACAAAAACAAAGTATGTGTCAAAAACAACCCTAAATAAATAAATAACCCTAACACCACCAGAATATACCCTCCTCTTTTTCTGTTAACCATGCTTATTCAATTATCACACTCTGGCAAACTGGCCTCCATCAGCATTACTGCTTTAGAACCCAATTTCCTGTAGAGGGAGCTAGCTGCTTAGAAATGCTGATCCAGTGGCACAAACTGATCAGATCAAAGACACCAAAGAAAGGAAGAGTGAGACTGGCAGAGATCAAACAGTCAGCCACTTTTCATGCCACGCACGCTTCAGAGACCAAAGTCTGAAATCCTTACTCAGTGTTAACTGAGACAAAACTCTCATTGGAACTCATGGCCTGAGTGAAGACAATGGAGTTTTGCTATTGCCTTTAATGGGGCCAGAATTTCACCCAGGGAGTTTTGCCTGAGTAAAGATTGAGTGAACACTAAGGACTAGAGTACGGGGTAGAGCAGAGGCAGACAATCAGAGAGGAATTCTGCTTCAAGGATTCTGCCAGGGGATTGTGCTCAGAGTTGCAACCCTTCAGGGAGTGCAGTATATTCCCCCGTGTCCCTACTGCCCTGCTCTCTTTCCCTTCCTCCCCACCGCTCCTGGGCGTCCATTGTGGTGGATTGTGCAGGGAAGGAAGAGTCCCTGTACTTCCATGCGCGCAGGGAGTGGAATGACGACAGGCCCATCACAGATGTGCAATCATGGGGAGAGGCTCCCTATGCTCTTTTCCAACCTGTACACTCACCTAAGTGCGGATTTCAGGATTTATCCCTGTCTGAGCAGAGAGAAAAAATAAAGGTAGCTATTAAAATTGGGCTGGATTTTGCTGATGGAAGCTATAAAATCATATTTCATAACAATATTATGCAATCAAGGCCTGGAGGAGACAATGTAAATTGTATTGCAGACTCTGCAAATCCCTCTGTGCATCTGCTTTTAATCTAAGTGGAGTTGATGGCAAAAGTTCAATTGCCTTAAAGGGAGCAGGACTGTACCTGTATTTTTACAGAGCTCAGATCTTGCTGTTTAACTGTGACAGGCCCTAAGAACCACTGTGAATGCTCTATTGACATTGTAAAGGATTTTTAAATATTAGTTTTCCATGTCCTGTCGTGGTTTTTAAGTGAGAGGCAATCCTGACCAAAGCTGAGGTAATGACTGCACAGTCTGATTCATCTGCTGCATTGATTTGTGTATCTGATTATTTCTTATAGACCTGAATCAAATAGTGAAAGAGAGCAATAAGCAGTCTTTGCATTTACACAGTCTGACATGTTTTAAGCATTGTGTGGACATTAAGTAATTAATCCTCACTACCCCTATATCCAGTCAGGAGGACGGGTAGTATTCTCATTGTCATTACCAGTTAGGTAGAAACTGAGACAGAAAGGTGAAATGACTTGCCCAAATCTGTACAGAGTCAGTGATAGCATCAGGATTAGAGCTCATTTCCCTGGACTACAATGTCTTTCAACAAGCTGGCTCTGACTTTTATATGACTGACGTATCTGAATCCAGAGTAGTTAGAATGGCTAATCCAACAGTTGTTTTTGTTGTTCTTTATGTGTGGAAAAGACTTTATTAGAATTTTCATTTATGGAAAAATCCTCATCCTTATTACGAGTGCCCAGAACGTCCAATAAAAAAATCACTCCCCAAAAAACAAAACAAAACCCCCACCTCTATTGCAGTTAGTAAAACTACATGCTCCAATTCAGCAACATGTTTAAGAATATGTAATTTAAGCACATGAGTAGTCCCATTGATTCCAACGGGATTACTCATATTCCTGAAGTTCTGCATGTGCTTAAGTACCTTGCTGAATTGGGGCCATAATCTTCAGCTTTTACTCACATTTTGAGAAAGATCTCCATGAGGCTATATGAAATTAATTTTTGGCTTGATCCTGCAGGTTATCAATCAATGTTCTTATATAGTGTCTTATACTCAGTAGTCCTATTATAATTAATGCAGTAGAAGTGAGAGTAAGTGTTTACAGGATTGGGCCTTAGGGTCTGATCCTTGTTCCATTGAAATAAATGGCAAAACTCCCATGTACTTCAGTGGTGCAGGGCTAAGCCTGTAGTATATAAGTATTGACATTCAGAAGCTGCACACAAAAAGAGAGTCAGCAAGTAGCAGAAGATAGAAGATTTCTGTTAGTGAGAAACAATTTTGAAAATCATGAAATAATTCTAATATAGCAAAGTGCCTGGCAATGTATATTATTAGAGACAGAGAACAAAGATTTACTTGCTAATAATGAGTGTTTCCTCTCCACTGATCCAGACTCTCATAAATTCTCCATACATCTTATTGTAATAGTTGCAGGCATTGCCCACTCCCATCCAAAGGAATCTCCCATGTGAAATGAGGGGACCAATTCCCATACAGAAACCAGGCCCTAAGGAAAAGGTTAAAGAAAAATATGACTCTTAACAACTGATTAGAAAATATATCAGTATCACTCTTTGCCAAGGATCCTTAACAACCAAGTCACAGAGTCTATTGGACATTTGATTTCACATAAAATTGGCTTATGCAAACCTGATATGGAACACCTGTATCTGCAGAGTTGGTAGTTTTATATCCACAGCAGCTCGATCCTGAGCCTGATGTACATTCTGTGTGCATGTAATAAGCTAGACTCTGAACCTTTTTCTGATACTTCAAGCCGATGACTATGGGGTGGTTTTCATTTAGAGGTATAGTGGCTAGGTATCAAGGCAAAGGAGTAAGAAATAGTTCAAAGAATAATGACATCATACTATTGTTTATCCACTTGCAAATTTAACAAATAGTTTTAGTGACAAAGGCCTTTTTTAGACAGTAATATCACCTACAAAAGTCAACTTCCTAGCTTTCTTTTAATATAAAGAATAGTAAATGAGGAAAATACAGTTTTAGAGGATTGGTTTGTATAAGAGCATTCTACTCAATGAGTTTATGGAAAGTAACATTCTAATGCAAGAGGTCAGAACGGAATCATCTAAATTTAGTCAATGGTTATGATTCTGAACTGAGTTCCACCAGTGTAAATCTAGAATAACTCCATTGACTTCAGTAGAGTGATTCCAGAGATGCACTAGTGTAACTTAGAGCAAAATTTTGTCCCCCAGGGGAAAAAGTGTGGGGGAAGAGTCTTAGAATGGCTAAAGGAACCTGTTCTAAAGGTACCCCCCTCTGTTCTACGTGGTCAGTCTAGTCTGGCTTGCCTGCTGTAATGTCTTGGGATTTGTTCAGAGACATGAAAGAAAGCAAGTAAAGTTCTTACAGAAAAGTTTCACACATTATGTTCACAAGATGTACAAATACCTCAAGATACTAGCCTTTATGAACAGGAATCAGAAGCCAGGGTTATTTAACTGTAAATTTAAGGCAAATGAATGCTGTTATCTCTCCTGGTTAATCCCATAAAGCTGGACTACATAACCTTCTGCAAACGCTTTTCCAGTATTCTCTGAACTCTCCATGAATAAAGGTTATTCAAAGATAGTTTGCCTGGGTCTCCTCTCAATTAGTTTTACTCAGGTGTAACCCCATTAACTTGAATAGCTATTCCTTATTTACACCAGTGCACTATGTTCCAGTTTATGGAAATGTATTATCCTGTACCTAATGGAGAATAAACTGAACAAGTGACATCTACCTAGCACCTGAAAACCGATCTACACCTGAAAACCTAGCAACAAGGGTCATCTGAATGGGAGGACTTTTGATGTTGGTCCATAAGGGGGCTGTTCTTTAGTGTCAGATACATGGGAAAAGGTGGGTAACCAAAAAGCTCCAAAATGACCCCATCCCCTAAATTAGGCTTGTTTCGAGCAGAAAGCATCTTCCAAAGCTCTGACGTTTGCAACTGTAACAAAATGTGAAGCTCTAAAACATCCATGAAAATAATCCAGACCATAAATATCTAGGCACCATGCTTAAAATTATATACTATTATTCTATCATATGCACACAAGGAGAGATCTGTTCTGAAGAAAGTAAATAATGTGATACTTTTAGCTGACTAAACAAACTTTAGTGCACAAAGTAGGGGGCAAATAGGGCACTTCAGATTTTTGTTTTTCTTAGCATTAAATCTCTCCTATATTTTATACAACATATTCCTTCTGTGTTTCCTTGATATACACTTATTACCCATCACTCCCCTTTTTAGCATAGTGTGAACAACCAAAAAACCCCTTTGTAGCATTTTGGGGGATACCATGTCTAAAATCAATTTACCTGGTATTGATGTTTCTTCATAATTCCATATTAGGAAAAGAAAGCACATGAGGAGGAGTATGGGCACGGTGGCAGTTGGCATCACTTCTGGCACCACTCTGGTGATATTGTAATGCATCAGATTCAGGGTTTCCAGTATCATCTTTTCTAAGAAAGTCTACTTTGCCTTCAGGGGGAAAAATATGGAAAGAGGCAGAAAGTTTCAAAATGCTAAGACACCTTTAATCGGTACCTTGCAACCCCTTTGCAAGTCCTGTAACTGAGCAAATTCATACCAGTAGTAGCTTTGTTTTATAATGAGACTGGCTGCTTAGACAAGACAAGCTAAACCACAAGTCAAAACAGACGTACAGCAGATTTACTTTTTGCCCAGAAATAACAAAGCATTTCTGACCTTGGTATTGAAGCTCAGGTTCCTTTGGATGCTTTGGCCAATAGACCTTTTATCTTTGATATTGCCCTTGGCTGGCCAACAATGACGTTAACTCCAGACAGAGTGCCAAATTTCTAATCATAATAAAAGAAATTAAACTCTCAACACATATGGAGGGGTTGAATGAACTCACTTGTACTCTTTTATCTAAGATACCTACCTTTTTTCCCCCTCCATGTCACTAGCATTTGTGAATGTCCTTGGGTTTCCAAAATAACCAAGTATATTTCCCAGTAAACAAATGTAGCTTGCCCTGGGTAAAAATTAGCAGGCATCTGGATAAAAATTATATTGGGCTTTATTTTTATCTGACACTGAGTGTTGTAATGCTTTGCCTTTCTTTACTTTTTTCAAAATATTTAGTAGAAGAGTATAGTACTTGTCAGACCAGACCATAGATTCATCAGGCCTAGTGCCATATTTTCTCTTTGACAAAGACCAATGCTTGACTCTTCAAAGGAAGTCAAAAACATAACAAACCATGCTGTAAAAAAGGGAGAAGAAGGGTTCCTTGCTGGTCCCTGCAGATGTTAAGTTATGTCATAAAGCATGGTATTTGATTGTCCCTGTGGAGGCAGATACTGTTATCTGTATGAGGATGATCATGCAGCGGGGTGGGGGAGCATTGTCCAGCTTGCCAGGGAAGAGGGAATAGTGCTTTACGTGTGTGTGTGTGTGTGTGTGTGCATGCGTGGGGGGGGGTGCGGGGTGCTGCAAAAAGGGGGAGTGGGTCAGTGTGGTGACACTGACTCATCCCCAAGGACCAGAAGGGTTGGGGAGTTGAAAAGGGACAAGCACAGCAAGAGAAGCCCCTTTTCCCCTGGACCAGGTGGTTCAGCACCCACCCACGCTCCCTTCCCTTGAGGCGGCGAAATACTAGGTTTGGTCGGGACCTGCTGTGGGCATCATGCTAGCTGCTCCTTCCTGGGGGGCTGGGCAAGAATTTTTCCCTCACCACCATATTGGCCTAGGTGGAGTGGGGGGCTGGGGTTTGTCTTCCCAACAGTGGGTTCAGGGAGAGTGAGTAGGGAAGGGAGTTAGGCTATGACGTTACAACTCATTATGTAGGTGTGGGGTGGTTGTGCAGTGCACGGAAGGGATACAATGACCTCATAAATGGCTTTGTAAAGGACATATAAAGGAGGTGTTGGTTAAAGGAGCAGAATGAGGGAGTTCAGGGCTCCTATGACTGCTACAGCAGGAAACCAGCCCCTCTTTCTTATAGCCCACCTTAACCCTCGTTTGTGGGTGGTGGTGGTAAGGTCCCAGCAATGGGTTGGCTGGGGGACCTGGATGGAAAAAGGGGGGGGGGGCTGGTGAAAGCCTGCCAGGTAGATATTGAATGAACATGGAGTTACCTGCATTGTACACTTTCATCTGCTGGGTAGTCCCAGACATCTAATAACAAAGTCGTGGCCTGATTAAAACCATATCAAGTGTCTCCTGTCCTTCTTTTGGTATAGCCAGACAAGAGATGTTTTACAGCTTGTTACTGTGCAATACATTAGATTAGATGAGTAAAACACCCTTTTAACTCTGCTCTTACAATAACTGTCTATTTGTGTTGTTGCCTAATCACTTAATATCTAAGTTCCAGGGTATAGGTACTCAGCATGTCCAGGTACAGCTGTTCTAGCTATTTCTTCCCAATAGTTTGTGTTTTCATAATATTTATCTTGAAACTTTCTCTCATATTGTGCTTTTATTTATTGTGTGTTTTTGTCTCGTACTGTAGACGAATGTACTACCATACTCAGTTAGCATTAAGAGTATTATTATTATTATATTATTGTAGTGCACAGAATGTGCTAGCTGCTTTACAGAAAACAAGAAGATGAGCTTACAATCTAAGTAGAAGATGTACAGAATACAAACGAAGGATGGGGCAGGGAAGTAATGATTCAGAACCTTATGAATTGAAGTGTTGCTACAGTGTTTTGGATCATTACTGTGAAATACTTGTAGCACTTTTTAAAGAAAATGTCTTACTGTAAAACAAAATGCCAAATGACCCTTTTGAAATATGTGTACTACACTGATAGGTACTTGGATCTCTTGATGCCTTTTGTACCTATGGATGCTCCTATATCTTACGTTGCTTTACTGTTGTCCTCTCTTGCATGCTGGGAAAGCTTTGTGGATAAAAGCACAGGAGATCAGAGCTATATTTGTTGCTTTGTCACAGCCTTACCAGGTGAGTCTGGCCAAGTCACTTGACCTCTTCAAAATGCAGGTAATTATACTATAGTTATCCACAAGGTACTATGAAGACTAATTCATTAATGTCTGTAAAGCGTTTTAAGATTCTGGGATGGTAGTATAATTGTATTCTAATTATTTTTGTTCTGACTTCAACAATGATTTTGATGTTAACAATATGTGGCTCCATAGTAGCAAGAAGGTAACTGCCTTAAAGATTATAGATTTCATATATGGTAATGGAGATGTCTGCTTTTATATGACCGTAAAAGATAAGCATAGAAAGTGCTGCCTATGAAAAAGTTTGCTTTCTTCTACAATTCAAGAAAATATACCCTGAGAACAGGGTGTGCGTATCACCGCTGTGTATCTTTGCTCTCTGGTAAATTTAATGGACTGTGATTTAAAATAAGTACCATTGACATGCCCCTATATCTGCTGCAGAAGATGAAGACAGCAACGGAAGTTTTAAGAATGCAGTGGAGATGCAGAAACAGAGGTTGAGAGTCCAAAGTAGCCCCTAGTGTCCTTTCTGACCCCCAAGTCCTCTCCTCTGGAACCTTCATCTCCTAAAAATCCAATCCCTACTGTGTAAGACATTACGTCTCCAATATGTCTCCAGTACATGTATGGGATGTGATAGATTAAATCCTGGATTAACATGAATCCCATGACTTTTACTATCACCTTCCCAGAACCTAACTCTAGGGACTAGATTTTCAAAAGAGCTCATCACAAGGGGATGCAATTGGATGCCGAGCTCTTTTGAAAATCTGGTCATCCATAGGTTTCAGAGTAGAGTGAGCTGTAGCTCATGAAAGCTTATGCTCAAATAAGTTGGTTAGTCTCTAAGGTGCCACTAGTACTCCTTTTCTTTTTGGTCATCCATAGAGGCTTGTTTGTCCTGGTGAACCTGGTGTTTCATTGGTTAGTATTAAATGAGTGTTTTAATTGGAATTGGAACAGGAATCCAATTTCCCCATAAGAATGAATGTAAATAGTGGGGGTTACGTTCTAGGGAAATTTTTTTTGCCAGTCAGAAGACATTATATACATATACAGTATAAGTTTTAAATAACTGTAAACAAGCAATTTAATACTGTACTCACCAATGATGATTGTGAAGCTTGGTTGAGGCAGGGGCGTAGTGGGGTCGGAGTGTGGGGGTTTGCCCCATTCCACCTGCTCGGCACTCCTGCCTGGGAGCAAGGTCGGGGGCTTGCCTGATCCCTGGCTGGAACGCTGGGCAGGCAGAATGGGGCAAGCCCCTGCGCCCCAACCCCATTCCCCAGCAGGAACACCAGGCGGGCAGAGCGGGGCAAGCCAAACAACGTTATAACGGAATATTGTGTGTCTTTAAACGAGGATATTCTGTAATAGATCAGCAACCTAATAACAAAACAGTGTTAACCAGGACGACTTTAAATGATGAGTTACTGTACTTTCAAGTTAAAAGTCTCTGGCATAGGAGAATGACGTTGTTCAGTTCCTTCATCCATAGATGTATGTTTCCCCAACCTATCTGCTACCCCAAATACTACGTCCTAGAAACACCATTGCCCACAGCCACCACCCAGACAGTGAGATAACAAGTATCTAAATGTTTCCTTGTAGTACATCTGTTGTTTAGAAAACAAAATATGGGGCCAGCTCAACAGCTTAGAGGCAGTTCTGTGTGCTACCAAACAAGAGACCTACCCTGGGCTCACTTTTTCACTCCAGATTGTTGGTCCAGCGCATGATGCAGTTGAGGAGCTTATCTCCCAGATGAAGGTTTAGGCTTGTGTCACTTTTGTGACCTGAGCTAAAGGATAGGCAAAGTGAGGGGCAGTATGGATAGTGGTAAGAGAAGGAGATGGTAGGAGTGGGGAATAAAGAGAAAAACCAGGCTTAATGCAGGTACATTTTTAGAGTGGTCTTCCTGGGTGTCAAGCCCGAATGAAGCCGTTGACAGTCGGCTTTTGGAGGTTTGTGTGTTGCAGAGAATGGAGCTATCACAATTTGTGAAATGCAGCTATTGTGACTGCAGTTGTGTGGGATCTGAAAAACTTGAATGGAGGAAGTGGCTAGTAATTGAACAAACAAATTTTTAAAAAATGCAATTGTTTTCACTGCGCAATGATATTTATATTAATGACAGTAGTGCATGATTGCTAACTAAAAACAAATAGAAACACCTAGCACTCTTACTTGAAATTGAGAGATTAATTAGAAACAAGTTTGGGTGCTTTATGTGTGTTACCACAATATCTGGATGCAAGCATGCTTGAATGTATAGTGTACCAATGGATGAGTTCCTCCATTTTTCACCTAGTCTCCATCCCTTTCCACCTGCTACATCACTTCATGAGCCTACAGTCTCCAGATGGTAGTATGTACCAAAACAAAAATAGCACATCTGTGTGGATTAGACATGGAGGAAATGAAGGTGTTTCTTTTCAGAAATGCCAAAATTTTAGCCATATATAAGCCATATATTCATTACAAATTCAAACTCTGCGACCCTGCTTTTCAAGGGCTGCTGGTCTCTCCTA